CATTAAATATAAACAAGAAAAAACGTTATCTTCGGTCGCACTGAGGCTATAATACCCTTCACAAATACAAAGGTTTCTTACAAGAACTTGATTGCAATCTTATTTCGTGACGATACCTTGGGTATGACGATACGAGCATTTGATACCGTTCCGACAAATAAGCAGCTTCTTAGTGAGAAAAGGACAGGTGCAAAATATCATGTCGATAGCTTAAAAACTGAGAGACTAGTTAGTATATATACAGAACAATACTTACAGACAGACGGACAGGCGGACATACAAACGGACATGGCTAAACCAACTCAGCTCATCATGCTGCTGATCTTTTTTAGATTGATTCTGTTTAACACCTATATTTTTTTGAAAAAAAAATAAAAATAACCTCAATAAAGAAAAAAGAAAAAGTTAAAAATTTAATAAAAAAAAGTTTATAATTTTAAAATTTTTTTGAAGTTATTTTTTTTTTAAATATTTATATTTATATTTTCTTAATTAAAAATATTCTTTTTTAATTATTGTATTAAATTTGTAATATAATAAAAGTCAGTAAATGATAAAAATTAAATTTCTTAAAAATCAGCAAGTTCCCATAAAAAAAGATAAAATAAAAATTTAAGCCCTAAATCAGTTTCACCACGTAGAAAATAAGTAAATATATATATATAAATAAATTAAGTGCTTTATATTTCACAAACTATTTTTTCAATTGTACTAGATTGAAAACGAGCTAATCTAGTACAGTTTGAAAATTTTCAATTTAATTTTTTCTACATTTTCTACAATTTCAAAAAATTCATTTCCCACTTTAAAATTTCAGCGAATTCAATATATACTGTATAAAAGATAATAATCTCATATAAAAAGAAAATTATCTCATACATGTAATAATAAAGTGAAAAAAAATATTCGCATTACATTATGTAATCAGCAGCATCAGTTACCTAAATGTGTCTACGCACACATCGTAAAATCAAAGCGAAACGACATGCTCGTAACAACACGCTGACGCGCTTCTAACTGCAAAATTTAATTACCGACAATAAAATGCCAGTGAACTGTGCCGCTGCTGGAAGTGAGCAGAAATTATTAGAGAACAAATATACGTACATGCATGCATACATAAATACCTTAAAACATATGAATGCACACGAAACGCTGAGCATGCGCCTTAGTGGGGTCAAAGCCGCTCGACTAAGTTCACACACTAGTGATTATATGTGCGTGTGTATGTGGTGGTTTAGCTTAGAAAAATTAATACAGCAGCAAATAAGCAGCGCAACAGCTGATAGCAATCATACACCGTTGCCTGACAGCGCACATACGTTGACAGCGCTGAAATGATGCTTTTCAGCACAAGAAAAATGCTAATAAAGTTGCAAGATTTTTTAAATAAATATTTGTTGTTCTTTTTGTGACAAAACGCGCAATGTTGCTGTTAGAGCAAACGCCGAGATATTCATCAGTTTTTTTCTCCATTTTCGCACAACAAAAATGCGCTCCCAGGTACTCTAAGACACATGTGTGTGTGTGTTTGTTTGCATGCATTATTATGTGTTAATTATATTTAATTTATTTATGAATCGCTCATGTCAATGGCGGCCTACTCACGGCCTTACAATTCATTATGAGTTGCAATTATGTGTGTGTATGTGTGCGCAATGAGAACTCAAGCCAAGAACTATATACACTAATGACACAGAAGCGCACGTTAAAGTACACCAGAGGCGGAGGCGCGTATTTTTTTTATATAATAATAAATATGCCATAAATATGCAAAGCAATTTGAGTTCATGTAGGAACATGTAATTAATTACATAATGGCATTGCCTGCGAAAATCTCGACGCTCTGATCTAATTACTCACTTATTGCTGCTTAAATGAGCAACGCCAACGGTACGTGTACTTAGAAATATGCCGATGTGTGTGTGCGTGTATGCTGGCAGGCTTTCCCAGCACGACTGTAGATAAACCTATTTGTTCATGTAAAATTTAAAACTGCTGCTTAAGCTTCACTGTTACAACAATTAGGCGCTGTGGCAGCTAGATTTCTTTGCTTATATGTGGATTTTCTCAGCAGTATTTAGCCTCTGTGGCGACTTCAAAGCTCAGATACACCGTATGCGGAAGGGATTAGATTATTACTAATATATTGTCCGCTCTTTTGTTTGTTGTTTTGGTTGCATTTGGTTAGATTAGTTTGACAGACAATCTACTTTTCGTGTAGGGCGTCATTGGCGCCTGAGATGCATTTGATGCACTAAACCGAGATTGCTGGTGGTGCTGCCCTGCGCATGGTTGTTAGAAAAGTGAAGTTCGATTTGTAAAAAAGTTGTTTAATGATTTTTGTTAAGCATGTGTTTTTTTTATAAATAGAGCATAAATTAAGCGTAATTGCCTTTAAATTATTGTCAGTAATGACTGATTATGGACCCCCAACGTCATTCACTACAAGAAGCCTTTACTAACACTAATATACGCAAGGCGGGAGAACTGATAAATGCATTTTGTAAATTGTTAAATTATTTTCAGCTATAATTAATCAATTACTTATGCATTACCACTGCTAAGTTTGATATATATGCATAATTAGTTTTGAACTCCAATATGCTGGGTGGGCTATTATGAAAAACATTTGTAATCACTCAAGTTATTTAAGCAGGCTGTCTGTAAGATCAAATACTTGATAAAATTGATTCATAAGTTAGTACAAAATAAATCATAAATATAAAATAATCATTGGTTTGTAAGCTTAAAGCTGATTTCATATCACCTGTATATTTTATATTAATATTTTAATTTAAATATTATCCGAAAGACACTAAAAATCATAAAAAAATTTATTTAATTTTAAGTGAAATTAAGTAAATTAAAAAAAGATATTTAGAAAAAAAAATAAAAATTAAAATTGCTAGATATGAATGAGGATAATTAATAAACAGCACAATTTCGTTCAAGATCAATTCTATATAAGAAATACTAAATTTCATCAAAAAATCGAAATAGCAAATTAATAAAGCTTAATTTTTAGAGTGTATATAAATATAAATTTAAAATAAAAAAAAGGAAATATAAGAAATAATGAAAAAAATAAATACAAAAATTAAATAAAAAATAAAATAAATTTAACTAAATTAACATAAATAATAATATAAAAAAATTAATTAAATAAAAAAACAAAAAAATGTAAAATAAAATAAAAATAATAAAATTAAAAAAACATAAAATAAATTAAAATATAATAAAATATTTTTATATAATTAAAAAAAAATATGTAAAAAAAAAATAAAATAAAATATTGTAAAATTAATTCGAGTGTTATTTTTTTCTTAAATAATAATTAATTTGGCCTAATTCATTCTTCTTGCCTCTCATTATTGCTTTACACTAATACATATATTAGAATATAAATATAAATATAAATATAAATATAAATATAAATATAAATATAAATATAAATATAAATATAAATATAAATATAAATATAAATATAAATATAAATATAAATATAAATATAAATATAAATATAAATATAAATATAAATATATATATAAATATTATTTATAAATATAAATAAAAATAAAAATATTTTAATTAAGAATATTTCGGTTTTTTTTAAGGAAGAAAGAAAATATTATATTAAAAACACTTTCTGAGTTTGAATTTGAGATACTAAAATTTTTTTGTATTTAAATTATCTCTTTCAATACTAACGATTAGTTTTAGCAAAAAATTCAAAATATTTATATAATAAAGTCTGTAAATGTGGACCAAATGTGTGAGATTGTGAACATGTTTCAATCCAAAAATTTTCATAATATGCTCAAAAATATTCCACTTTAAATAAAAAAATTCATTTTAAAACGGGTTTAAAATTTCAAAAAGTGCCGGTTAAACATCGTTATTAACTTATGCGCTTTTCTGTAAATAGTCTGAAATTTACTAAAAAATTTACACCAATACAATTCATTTGCCCCCACTGGCATAAAACGCTGAAATATTAGGTCATCTAAGGCACAAGAAATACTTTAAATACAGTTATTTGAGTTGTAGTTTATTCAAAAATAGCTCTCAACTTGCTTTTAAGCTCTTTTGTTCCCACAATAATAATAATTTTCCAAGTTTGCCAAATAAAAAGTGGTGGTGAATATAAAAATAATGCAGCAACAAATAACTGTAAGTTACAAAACATAACAAACCAAAATGTGCTACAATTCATTTACTCACTTTGAAATTATCGCTTTAGTTATTTATTTTATAATAAATATGTGACTTTCACTATAAATATTTTAGTATTTTTTTGTGAATCTCTTAGCCAGCTTCTCACGTCATCAATTTTTTATCTCTCTTGCTGTGCTCTCGCATAAGTGTTTTGTATAAAACTTGCCACACAATGTTTATGGGCGGAAATATTATTGACAAAGTTGTCAAATTGAACGATTTCCAAGTTCAGTCACTTCCCGCCGCAAAGCATGACTAACGGTATGTCGAGTTGCATTTCGATTAAACGGAGTGCAGCCTGAAGCGGATTTTTCTCACGATTTTAATTGGTTAATGGCGGCAACTGCATGCAAACACAAAAATAAGCAACAACATGGAATTAATAATGGAGACACAACAGCGCAAAGGCGGTAATAGCGACACTTTTTCATGCCACAGTGACAGATGTGAGCTGCGACAAGTGCCAAATGAGGGGCCGCTTAGCAAAAAAATCATCTGGCTAAATATGTACATACAAATATAAGTGTGTGGAGATTTGTGTTTGGCGGCAACCGTCATTAAAGCTTGTTGCCCGGCTATTTAATTACACGCGGCGGCTTGTACGCATTGTGCCACTTATGGCCACCGGCTGTCAAACACAAACACACACTCACATATTTCTTTATAAACATGTATAAGTCGATAAACACACACATATATAACACTCTTTTACTTTATACGCGATTATTTCTCTACTTAAGGCTCAACTAATGACTAACTTTTTTCTTTTCTTTTCTTTGCAGCATATCTAACGGCGTCCATAAATACCATAACAGCGATAGCATTACAACAATAAAAAGCAAAAACCAACAACTACATTTATAGCTAAACAATCAATTGCAAGCGGCAACATGTTCTTTCGACGTTGCACAATTTACCTCATTGTTTTGCTGCTGGTGGCAAGCACCGCGTCTGCGGCACGTAAAACCAAACGTCCGGTTAAGCCGGCCAAAACGTATCCCCGCAACAATATAACACCAGCACCACCAGCTGCCGCAGCCGCTGCGGCCGCTACCAGCGCTGGCAGCGTTGCTGCTGCTCAACAAGCTGCCGCTGTCACCACACCGGCTGGCGGCAGTAGCACAACGCATGCGCCGCCTAACATTAGCAGCACCACAGCTACGCCAACACAAATTGGCAGCGGCAATTATGCCGGCAGCGCTGCTGGTGATGAGAGTACCGGAAGTGACGGTTTTGTGGTCGGCAATGAGCTGCCCAAACCGATGACACCATTGTCGGAGGCCAGCACCGGCAGCACTGGCGCTGCGGCGGCATCCGCTTCGGCTGAGAGTAAAACGGACCGTCCGTCGGCCACGTTATCACCAATCGAAGAAGACTGTGATCCGGATATGATTGGATTCGAGATTATCACTGGGTGAGTAGCGCTGATTTTGAACTACTAGTTGCGTGTTAAATAGCGGCAGGCTGGTGACGCTGTCGTATATTGGTGTGATATGCTTTTATGACGTCAACCAGCGGGTAGTAATGAGTTCATAGGAAGCATAAAATATTTAAATGAGGCAAGTGCAGCCAACTGTAATAAACTATGTTGCAAATTATGGTTTAAAGTTGTTAAGTGGGCTATAATAAACTTAATTAAAATACGACGTGGTGGCTAAATAAGAGTTTATGATAGAATCTTGTTTGGTTTTTTTTTTTTTTGTTTCTTTTGTTTGTAAGACCCGACTATATTTATGGTTTTGCAATTTTTTTACGTTTGGCGGTTAATACTAGGTACAAAGTGGTAGAACTCTTAAGAATAATAAGCCCATATATTGAAATGCAGAGACGTGCATATATGATATTGCTTACCCTTGTCGCTTTCTTTATTTGTTTATAAAAATTTTGATATATTTACTTATCATTTCTAAAAATAAAATTTTTCGCAGTTTTTATAAAATTCTAAAAGACCCTGAAAAGCTCTTATAAAGTAAAATAAAATAAAATTAAATTGAAATACAATAAAATAAAATAAAGTATAATCAAAAAACGAAAAAAATGTTAATAAAATAAAATAAATTCCGATCGCATCATCAGTGTATATGCCACGTGCAGGTCACTAAAACCCCTCTCTGGGGAAGCCACCCTGCAACCACGTTTGCATTACTTCAGGGTGGAGTTCCATTTTTCTCATTGAGCAATTAGCCACTTACTTGGCAATTTTGTCAAAATATGATTTTCTAATTATTTTGTTTATATCTGATATTCATTAATATCTTAAAGATAAATTGATTATTTCCTTATCATTAAAATTTGCTTACGAAACGTAGAAATCAGACACTTTTACTTTCGCCTCAACTGTAGTTGGCTATTAATAAATTGTTTAACAATACTCTAGTAAATAAATGTAAATGACTAAAACAACTTATACCATTTCTTTTTTACTGTAAGTGAGAGTATTTATTTGTTATGCATATTCCCTTTATTGTTTGGCTAAAAATCTATTGTTTACTTAGCATAAAGCACAACATAAATTAAGTGTAAAATATGCAAAAGTTCTCCAATCAAAATTTATTTATATTAACAAACCCATCTAACATTCTAATGCAAAAGGCTAACGGTTTTGGATTTCAAATTCGATTTCTTCACACTTCATCACACGAAGAAAGGTTTTGTTATTGATTACTTGCTCATATTGATTATTGATTTCGGGGCTTTTGTTATGTAAAATTTTAACGTGAAAGTGAGAGTTTATAGTATAATGCAACGACTTTTGGATTTTTGTTTTTTATAATGAGCTATTTGTTGGTTGACATATTCTATGATTTACCGTAAATTCAAGTAATAAAGGCAATGAATAAATACACATAATTTACCATGAGTATATTTTTGCTTAAACTTTTAACTATTATATTACTTTATAATTATTTTACATTCATTACCTTCATTACTAAGATTTCCGATCAATCACCAGTATACACATTTACAGCTATCTAATTATTTTTGTTGTCTTTAATATCATCTGAACTCTATTAATATTGTACATTTTATATTAAATCTCTACACTCAACTGGGAATGCACTACAAATTTGATATAATCAAGAATAATATTTTAATATTGTTATAATTATGTAATGAGCTAAATATACAGATATAAAATTATAGCTGAGAATGCTACAGTTAAGTGACAATTAATTACATAATAAGCATGCTTAGCAATAATAAAGTAATATTTTGTACATATTTCTTGCATTAATTATGTTTGTACGAATCATAAATATATGTATAAATTAACTAGAAATATGAGCTTTACAAAAAGTATTAGCTAACAAGTTAAGCGTAATCATTCAAGTAATAGAACGAACATCCTTTTGGTTACAACAATATCTCGTACACACATATCAACTACATAGAAAGAAATGAGATTAGTTAAGTATTTAAACTTCACTAAGGAAAAAAGAAAATCTTTAGTGACTCCCTTTCTGAACCAATCTTTATTGAATCAAAATCCTGATCACAATTCTTTTTATATCAAAAGGACGCAAATTATGAAGAATGGGTTTGACTTTACTGGAATTATTCTGAAAATTTCTAAGAAATGCAATAATAAATATTTTGTCTGTAGATTTAAAAGCAAACATTTAGTACTACCATTACTATTACTGTTCATCAGTAAAAGCGCAGCAGCTTTGTATAGAGTTTTGTACATAATGTTGCCCTTTCTCTGAAGGCAATAGTAGCACCGCGAGCGTCGCTCAAAGTCTATGAGTTATGTTGAAGGACAAGTATCTAAAAATTACGAGAAGAGAGCAGGAGAATTTCCAACATCTAATAAAGGTGTATGTTGCAATTATCAATTAAAAGCTGTTGTTAATTAAATTAGAACCAATTTTTAATAACAGTATCTGTCTCTCTGCTGTTAGTAAATCAAAAAAGATGCTTACAAATTAATTAAAAATTTAGAAATAACTGATATCAGACAGAAGAAAAGGAGTGCGACTTGGAAAAAAAATATAGTAATGTGCCTAAAGCTAGGCAATATTTGATATATTGTTACAAATTACACAGAAAAATGTAGTCTACATTTAGGTTACTATGTAATTACGAAAACAAGGCTAGCTGGCAAAAATAACTTAATAAGTAAATAAATAGGCTATATATATTTAAGGCTATTTTCAAGTTATGATAATACATTACAAGTAGATATGGCAATATATTTTACTCGAGTGAGCTTTTCTTTTGCGTAGTCTGTGAAATTACACCAACTGCACTCAAAAACAAATAAAACCATAGCAAAAATTTTATTTAAAGTAAGACATAATCATCTTAGTTTTTCAATTAAAACAGATCTACCGTTATTTTGGATTGTATACACATTCTTATTTATATATTTAAACTGTGTTTCTCTTTCCATAGACTAATTTATTTATTTCATAACAAACGTAACATAAAACATTGGCTTTTATGAATTTTGCCTCCCAACCCACTTTAAGACATTCTCTGTGTTTTTTGCTTCTGTTTTTGTATTTTTGCTTTTGTTTTTCTAACTAAACCATATTCTTTCTCTACGTTGCAGTTATGTTCTCTCGGCGCCAACTAAATTGCTTGACACGCTGCCCGGCATACTGATGCTGACTGATTGCTTGGAGGCATGCCAGGCGAACGAATCATGCAGTGCAGTTAATTACGAGACCGGTCTATGTGTATTATTTAGAACCACCGCTGATGTATTGCCAGGTAAGTGGGTAAGCGGATTCTGTGGCTGAAAAGCGCCGCAGCAACGCCAAAGTCATAACACTGATAAATATGCGCTATTTACATGAACACGTATGTGTGTCGCCATGTGCGCGTTTATGTGGCATAGCGGTGCACGCATTCGTTTGTAGGCCGTCAAACTGGTATTTACCTTTTTTTTCTTGTTGCAACGCGCTTCTAATGTACTGTGACTGCCATCGATAGCCGGGCGGCGCTTTGTGCAAACTATCACATTTCGACGCGAAGCAAAGGCAAAAGCAAAAGTCAACAAAAAAGCATGAACTACAGTTGTGAACTCGTTACACAAAATCATAACAAAGTTGTAAATAAAAAATCATTTTTTCACCGTACTTTTATGTTTTACTCTTATTTGTCTTATATTGTTGGCGCATTCGATTTGCGTCCGCTATGCGCCATCCGCTAAACTGTAGTAAATTGATTGTGGTAAATTGCATAGGTTGGTGTATTGTATAATCGGTGACGCGTTCAACGTGCGCGTACACACCTACTTTTTACGCATAAAATTATTTGCTGCCACTTTAGGAGCCCAGGCCGCATACAGTAGGCAATGAGTGGCCGCGTGCAGTATGCAACAGGTTTTGTGACAGCTTCAGCAATCTGCCTCACCTCATTGCGCACGCCGCTTACCTACCGCCTATAGCACGCTACTAAGCGCTTTGATTTTTTGCATTTTTCTGTTTCGATTGCATATTTTTATTTTCGCCTCGCATGCAGCGCCGAGGCCTAACGCACAATTTTTGCGCCTACTTTGTCGTCACGGCAGTTGGCAATTGGCTGTTGGCAGCTGGCAGGTGCCAGTTTGTCCAGCAGCCTGCTCGTACGATTCGCAGCCACGAGCTGCCTCTTTCTTAACGCCTGTTCCTTCACAGCGAATGGGCGTGTGCGTAAAGACATTTCGTGCTTTTTGTGGCCGCAAATACGCACTACGCCAGTTACCGTTATAGTGCGTGACGTATTTTTGCTTGTACACGTTGTTCGTTCACATTTTTGTGCGTGATTTTGGTTTTCTTTTTTTTTTTTGTTATTTTTCGTTAATACTTTGAGTTTCGTTGCCGTTGCAGGTTCACTTTCGCGTTCGCAGTTTCCAGTTTTTACCATCTACGCACAGAAATCCTGTTTGGGCGTGCGTCCCTGCTCGAAGGCCTGGTGCATTGATCGCGTTCAAGGTTATCGTCTAGTGGAGCATGTCAAATCTAGCCAGACTGTCTATTCGCGCCGTGACTGCTTGGAATTGTGCTTGGGCGAAACTGAATTCACTTGCAGGTAAGTGTGTGAGGCCAGCTGAGGGCTGTTGATGATGCAGTGATGCAGCTCAGTGTAAATATGTATTATACATGTATAGATAAGTTGTTGTTGGCAAGTAAGAATGGCGGATTAAAAAGAACGAAGTGTGTTTGTATATTTTATGCTTGGCCGCTGCATAATTGGGTCAAGTGCCAAGCTTTCTTATGCCTACCAGCATAAAATTACTCTTCACTTTGTTTCGTAGTTTCGGCGTTAAGCAACTCTATTGTTTTATTGTAACTGTAATTTCTTTTTTCTTTCACATAAGAAGTTTTAAAGTAAAGTTTCATTTTATTATTTTATAAAAATTCATTGATTTCTTATAATTTTGTTTAGATCCGCTAACTTCTATCGTCATTCTGGTTTGTGCGAACTCTCCGATATGGATCGTATCACTTTGACTGGCGCTAATAATGTGGAACCCTACGATGGTGCTGATTACTTGGAGAATAATTGCGCTGAGGAGCCCAGCAAGTTGTGCGAATTCAAACGTATCTCTGGCAAAATTTTGAAAACAGTCGACTCTGTCTATCAAGATATCAATAGCATTGATGAGTGCCGCGATTTGTGCTTAAACTCACCCTACAGGTAAATATTCCTTAAATTTTTTTTGAATAAGATATTTTTCTATAATAGAAAGCCCACACGGATAACTGTTAAAAATCGAAATCGTTTAAACTTTTTAAACTCCAAGCTTTACATTTCCACCGAGTAATCTCAAAAATAAAAATAAAATATACTTTCCGACTTTGACATTTAAAAATAAACATTTTTAAATCAAGCTTGACGGAAAAGCTTTCCTAACCTTCTTATGAGTTTGTCTTGTAATAAGATGATTCTCAAAAGTAATTGAACTGAAAGTTTTAAACGATTTTTTAAAACATAAAGTGTCTTATCGTCTATAAAATCTCTTTAAAAGCTTTTTACAATTTTTGGTCCAATGCTGGAAGCTTTCTACTTTTTACTTCATAGTAAATAATACCTTTAAAGCAGCTTTCTTAAAATAACTTTCAAATTGAACTTCAATATGTTTTTAGTATATTTCTTATTTCAAACTAAATTTAAGTTGATTTTTAGTTGTGTTTTAAGCTCTATAAATATATTTTCACTTATTTCAGATGCCACTCATACGACTACAATGACACTGGCGATATGGTCTGCCGTCTCTCACATCACAGCCGCGCCACACTCACCGATGTGCTCGACCCCTACTTGGATGTACCAGAGGCTGCAACCTATGAACTCTCCTCCTGCTACAATGTGTCCATTGAATGCCGATCTGGCGAAATGATCACCAAAATACGCACATCAAAACTGTTCGATGGCAAAGTCTACGCTAAGGGTTCCCCCAAATCGTGCTCAGTCAATGTTAACAACTCACTCGAATTCGATTTCCGCATGGGCTACAACGATCTCGAGTGCAATGTGCGTCAGAGCGCTTATGGCCGTTACATGAACGATATTGTCATTCAACATCACGATATGATTGTGACGTCCTCTGATTTGGGTTTGGCTGTCTCTTGTCAATACGATCTAACCAACAAAACGGTTTCGAATGATGTTGACTTGGGTGTCACTGGCGAGATTGAATCATCACTCAGCGAAGAGATCATTATCGACTCACCGAATGTGATCATGAAGATCACCTCACGCGATGGCAGCGACATGAAACGCATTGCTGAAGTTGGTGATCCGTTGGCTCTGCGCTTCGAAATTGTCGAACAGAACAGTCCCTATGAGATTTTCGTGCGCGAATTGGTCGCTATGGATGGCACAGACAATGCTGAGATCACACTGATCGATGCCAACGGTTGCCCCACCGATCAATACATCATGGGCGCCATACAGAAATTGTCGGCCAATCGCAAAGTGCTCGTGTCGCAATTCGATGCCTTCAAGTTCCCCTCCTCCGAGGTGGTGCAATTCCGCGCGCTTGTCACACCCTGTATTCCACGCTGTGAACCAGTGATCTGCGACAATGAGGATGCTGTTATGGGTGGCGCTGATGCCAAATCGCTTGTGTCGTACGGACGCAGGAGACGTTCAGTGGCAAATGGAACTGATGGCGGTAAGTTGGGAGGAATAACTGAATAGGCGTAATTAAATTTAATGAACACGTTATTGTTTTTGTAGTTGGTAATTTACTGTTGTACTGTTTTTATGCGCTTATTAATTTTTTTTTACAGCTGAATTCTTGTTGAGCACGATTGCGCATGCCCAACGTGAGAAACGCGATGTGAACGGCAACAGCAAAAACAACAACAATGTAAGTGACAACAAAAAGACCGCCGCCGATGACAACATACTGCTGGTGCAATCCATTCAAATCACCGATAAATTTGGCTTCAATCAAGAGGATACCGACGCGTTGGGCGCCGATCACAAACTGTACGCCGGCATTGGCGACGATGCGCTCACCTGTCTCAATGGTTATGGTAAGTACGATTGCTATCGCGCCTGTCTGAGACTTTATTGGGAATTAAGCAGTGGAAATATATGGAAGCTTATTTTCGGTTGCTTATTTATTTTAGCAATTTTTCGCGCGCATTTATTTATCAACGCGTTATTACACGTCGCATATTTTTTTATTAGCAAAATAATTTTTCGCCATTTTTCTCTGATTGGTACTCGTTTCATATTATTTGTTCACCAAGGGTGAACACATGTTGGCGCGAGTGTTTTCTGTTTGCTGTGCGCGTTGCAATGTTCCAAGCAGTTTTACATAATTGAGCGCGCACACAAGCACCATACGTGATGCACCGCGCACCGCTACCCAACGCGTTTTTCAAAGCATTGTCAAACCTTGCGCTACAACGAATTGACTAACGAATTACGTACGTGCGGTATTAGCAGCAGCAAGCAGACAAAAGAATGCCGTTCATATAACAGCAATAACAGTGGCAAATTGCAATGCTGCGCTTATTGTGGTGGTGGCACTAGCGGCAGCAATAAATTGGCAACCGAAAAAATTTGCATTTCGCCGCGCACATTTTCAATGCCACATCCGCGCAATAGCATCAGTGGCAGCGGTAGCACATTGATTGTGCGCCTGTGCAACTCTATGGTTTTGCGGCAACGATAATGAATCAATTACGCTAGGCAATCGTTGTTATACGCTGCTCCGCGCGGTTATACCAACGAAAATTATTGGATTTTTATTAGCAAGCCTGCGGTGAGCTGGCGCAATTGTATTCACAAGCATTAAGTTATCATTCGATATATAAGCTTGTATATTGTATGTACGTTCGTACCACATGCTGTGCCATGGCGCGCGCTTTACAGCGCTTCAACGTGTTGCACGGCGGCTTCTAGCGCTTCCCGCATTTGCTATTACAAATATATAGGTCTCTAGGTATGCGTTGAATGACCTCAGTGGTTGCATGCTACTTCATGTAGTTGTTGCAAGTACTGCTTTTACCGTACTACAATTTCTTGTTCCAGCGCCCCCATTAGCAATATTGACTGTGCGCATCCGCTACACTCTGCGCCAAATCAGTGCAGTGGCATGCCTCCTCACGAACGGGTCACTGGTTCAATGCGCGTCACTTCAACTTTGCCACAGTTATTTCACAGTTTTTTTTCTCGGTTATTTCCAATTTTCTATTTCGCTGGCGAAAACATTCGGTAACTCCACCAACGCCGGCGCGAGATGTTTGTGCTAATTTTTGCTGCCGCTCTTCTTCTTCTTCTTCCACTCATGTTTAGTGCAAGAATTTGCACGCCAAAGTGTCGTGACAACGTGCGCCGTGAGTCGCACAAATGTTGCATACAACAACAACAGTAACAACACTGTGTGCATCAGCCAGCCAACCAGTCTGTCTGTGTGTCTGCTGGGCTGCTGCGACGCCGTGCGGCCGCCAAAACGGTAGGCCAGTGTGGTAGCGTAATACTGCTGTTGCCAAGCGCTCCAGCAGCGCTGCCAACAGGAGCGCCAAATGTGAAAAATTAAAAAATAGAAAAACCATGCAACACCACCTGTTGCGCATGTTACTAATGTGCATGCATGTGCTGCTGTCTGTCTGCCTTTGTTGTTGCTGCTGTGCGCGGGCAGCTCACCTATTGAGAGCATTTTTTTATAGTTGGCAACACAACATGCGCTTTGCCTTTTGCCTTTTTACACGTTTATTATATATTTTTATTTTCATACTCCTAACACAAATTCTTATTGCCCCATTTTATCGGCCGCTTGGGGTGGCAGTGCGCTTGGGCAAGCAACATGTTGCGCTGTTACAATTGTTGCTAATGTTTATGTTGCATATAATATTTCAACGGTTTTTCTTACTTTTAGTCTTCGCTTTATATATTTTTTATTTTTGTTGTGATTTTTTTATTATTTTTTTTTTTCATTGCTTGCCGCGAAAGTGTGCCGATCCTGTGGCTATAAATATTATGTGTTCTTGCTGTTGTTGATTTTTGCTCATGTTGCGCTAAACGCTTTTTATATGTGTTCAAGGAGTGCATTGTTTTTGTTGTGTTTCTGTTTTTTTTTCGCCCATGAGTACTCGTCGGCACTTATCGCCCTGTTCCGCAATAAACGATAGGTCAAGTAGAAGGAGGTTAACGGGTTAATAAATAGCGTATAATACCGTTAATTAGTGGGGTTCACAAAGCTCAGGCTAGGGTACTTGTGAACTGCCAAATAGAGCATTTCTCACATTATTTTACAATAAACTCGCCTTAATGTGAAATTTGTGAAACGCGGCGTAAAAGATGCGGACTTCCTTATATACTTGTACTAACACTAAAATATCATTCTATAATTTTGGAAAGTATCGCAAGGTAGTTGGCGCGGCTAAAAGCTAGCAAAATTTATTGTGTGTTTATTTAGATTGTGTTTTTGTACAGGAAGCAAATTTCGGCGGTTCCAGAAAAGAGATAAATTCCCGAAAGCAAATATTAGTACAAGAAAAATATATTAACAAAAAGATATATAAAATAGAACTAAATTTAAAAAATAAAATTTGAACGACATTTAATTTGTCAGTAAATAAACCAAACAAAAAAATAAAATATTGGATGAAAAATTTTTTTTTTTTATTATTTAACTAAATTGAAAAAAAAATCATAGCTTTTGAATTAAGTCCAAATTTTTTAGCATTTTTTTTTTTTTTAATTTTTTTAAATTAAAAACATTGTAAACACGCAGTAAAACATACGTATTTTTTGATACATTTAGAAAACAGTAAAATATATTTCAACATTTAAAAAGAAAGTTTATAACTTTTGATTTAAATTTTTTCGGAAAATATTTTTTTTCAGAAAAATTAAGTAACCATTTTAAATTAGGGTCACAAATTAACTAAATTTTTTATTTAATTTAAAATTTTGAAAACGGATTAACTGACTTTAAAATGTTAAATGATTTGCGGATACGAAAAAAAGGGAATAAAAATAAAAATTACTATTTTAAAAATATATTAAATTCGTACTAATGCAGTAAAAGTCAAAAAAACCCGAAAAAATTTAATTTTTATAAAATAAATATAAAGCTTAGACTACAGAAAACTTAAAAAAGTTGAAACTAAAATATTTTAATAAAATTGTGATAATCGTAATAAATAAAAAATATCATTTCTCATACAAAAATATAAAAAAACCTTTTAAGAAATTTTTTTCCGCATTTGATATTGTTTTTTTTTTTTTAAATAAATTACTTTGAAAAATAAAAAATAAATCAAACAGATGATATTTGTTCTTTAAAATTCCTAAATTCAAAGCGGCGTATTACAAAAATATATTATTTTATCACTTTAATCAAGTTATTTGAAAACAATCACTTTATTTGGTTATTTTTTTACAAAATAAATATATATTTTATATAAAAAAAATTTTTTTTAATTGTTTTAGTAATTTCAGTTCCATTAAATTTTTTACATTTATTAGTTAATATTCAAAATTATAACAATAATATAAATAACATAATTTTTAAATATTGTTTTATAATTTTAATAACTTTGATTTTAATTAATAAAATTATATTTATTTTTTTTTACATGCAATATAATGAAAATACTTTAAGTAACTTTTTTTCAATGTAAACTTTTTTTAGTATTTTGTGTTGACACTATTTTTAGACTCATTTTATTTTTTTTTTCTCAATATATTTAAATTTGTTTTGTCTTAGAAAAGTTCCAAACCTTCTTTTGAAAACAATGCTTTAATATTTTAACTTATTAAAAAAATTAATTACGCACATGCATCACTATTTTATACTTTTTAAAAAAATTGTGCTTAAGCAAATTCATTTTCAAGTTTTTATAATGGCCACCACTACCAAAAAGATTATCATTCACTTTGACCTCATTCCTTGCGCCAACTAACAAAGTAATCACAAAATAATCGCTCCATTGCATTCTAATATACAGTTAACCAAATACGGGTGACCACAAATGGCGCTGTCAAAAATAATATTTTCCGAGAAAACACAGAAACCGCAGCAAATGCATTTGCCACCCAGATTTGTTTTACTTGAAGAGTACGCAGACATAGCACTGTACGAGTATACATATATATATATATATATTTGTATATGTGAGGACTAGATCAGATAGGAATTAAAGTCAGTACAAAGAATTTATTGAAATCAGTCAGAAGCGAGCAAGCGCACCCAAAAACAGAAAGCGCAAACAAATATTTGAAAACAAGAACAAGGTAGCCGCGCATGCGCACACTAGTACAATCGCAGTTATAAATAAATATTAACATTTATATGCGCTTAAGCAAAAGAGAAATTAAAGTTTTAAATGTTAGCAAATAAAACAATTGTGGGCAAGCAAGTTTAAATCATGCGGCAACAAGCCAACGCGGGCGCATGCCACCAAATGTTGACGGCAGTGCACAAGCGCGCAGCAATGACAGCGAAATGTGGCCGCAAAACTAAACAGAAAGAACGCAGCAGGCATTTAGTGGCGATCAGTGGAGTGCGCGAAGCAATCAAGCAACGCTGGCAGCAACGCGCACGCATGCAACATGCACACACAAACGTACGCGTCAACACACACACAGGGGCGGCAGTGGCATACAAAATGCGATGACAGCCGCAGAAATAAGTGAAATTTGTTGCCACGAAAACTACGCGCAAAGCGGGATTCTGTCTATGAAGAAGCGGTAGTGCGACGTAGAATGCTGCATAACTGTTTATTTGTTTGCCTACCTTTTTATTTACGCGTGTTTTTTTATCTACGTACGAATTTGTTAAATATCTTGCTGCCACTGTTTTTTATCCAATTGTGGCATGCTTATTACTTGCAACTCATCGCGCTGACCACAAAAACTACTTAGATTGTTTAATTTATTGCAACAACAAAAACACAATATAATTTACATTACCGCACACTTTGTAGCATGAGAAATGGTATCGCTTAGTGGCGTTTTCGAGACGCTTCAATATGCCCATTCATCATGCCGCGTTAGGCGTACTGTCGACCACGCTCGCCAAACGGCCCGTGAGTGAGTTAAACAGACTTGAAGATGCTGTGGCATTATGTTCACTTGATATGCAATTAGATTTTCGTTTTATTTGAAGTGCAGTGTGCCATCATTTCACTGTATTTCTTTCTAATTTTCGAAATTACTTTTTCGGTCACTATTCGCCACAGCGCTGCAGCCACTTTCACCGCTTTTCCTTCGCGCAAACAGATTTCGTGTGTGTGTGTGTTTCTGTGTCACCTGCTAGAATCGATTTGGGCTGAGACATGAACAAGTGAGCAAATGCGCTGAGTGAAGCTGTCAGCGGTGTCAAACACCAGCCAATCGGCCCACTGTCCGTTGCGCTGGCATCGTTAGCGACACACGCATGCGCAGATTGGCGCGTTTACGCCCGTTTGCTACTCAGCCAACTTGAACACAATAAACGTTGTATACGTGACAGCTGCGTACACTGACAACAGCAACAACGGACAAAAGAAAGTAACCTTGGCAGTGGCGCAGCTCTTTTGTGGCAAATGCGTTTTGTCATAGTTTTTGGTCAGCAGCGGCCTAAGTGGCATGAATTGCATTCTCAAAGGCACCCAGCACGGCAAATGCTAACGCCGCGCAATAAGCGCATTGTTGCCACTACAGCGCTTGCTATTATAATTGAAACTTTTGGTCAGCAGAGTCGTAGCTGTCGCTTAGTTGACTTTATTTTCTCATGTGTGTATGCTTGCGTGGTATTTGTCTAGTTGTGGCATGCCAATTGTGTGCAAAGCATGCGCATTCGCAGGTCTGTATGGCATGTTTGTAAGAGTGTTGTTATTGTTTTTGAATGACATACTCAGCCGGTGTCGGCGGTCTCATCATATTGAGGGCGTCCCAGTTTTACTCTTGCATTATTATTTTGGTGGTTTCGTACTAAAAAGTGATGTCAAATATGGCATTGAGTGGCGGAAATAGTTTTGCAAAATTGAAAACTGGCTTGCAGTTAACCAGAATAATAGTAGAAAGAAAGAAGTTAGAAACTTTCTTGGAGCTTTCCCATATTTTAGTGAAAGTTTTTTGGATTCTGCTTTTTGTCATAGTGCTTCTAATGGGCTTTCATTATATTTAATTAAAAGCCTTGACATAGTAAAAAGCTGCGGAAGCTGCACTCCTGGTTGTAAGAGGTAAAGCAGTCACTTTTAAAAATAGTTTCAATATCTATTAATGCTTTAAAAATAAATTAGAATCAATAACCAAAAAAAAAAACAAAACAACAACAGCTAGCCTTAGAGCTTTAAATACATTTCGATTTTATCTTTTAATTTTACTGAAACAAAAGTTCAGTAAAGCGTACTGAAAATTGTCAATATAAAGCTAACGTCAAAAAGTTAAGCGAATTATTATATCAGTAAAAAAAAAGAACCAATTCAACTCGTTGCAAAAATTTTCGTTGAAAACTTATGTACGTTTTCAAGAGTTCTAGAATAAAATATTTTGTTACTTCGATAAGTTGAAATAATTTTACAATAGCTATAAACACACATATAGTTAATTTTTTACGATTTCAAGCAAGCTCTGAAAGCTTTCATTCCTTTTAAAACAAATATTTTACAAAACTAATTTATTTGAAAGTTTTATAATTTCAAAAGCTTAAACGTGAAAGCTCTTAAAGCTCTTTTTCTTTTAAATGCTTTTTCTTAAAAAAAACATGTTTACAAAAATAATTTTTTGTTACATTTTTATGATTTCAAAACTATGAAAGCTTTAATTTTTTCAAAGCTTTTTCTAAAACAAAATTTTACATAGGCAATTTTTATAAATTTTCGTTTAGATCTAATTAGAACTTTGCAATGCTAGCATTAAAAAAAAGAGCCAGGAAGCAAACGTGTGTAAAAAGTATCAGTGATTTCAAGCGAAGCGAAGCATAAGTCTGCCAAATTGGCATAATGCCTAATAAATTTTCATACTCTTCTACATATCAATTGCGATTGTTACTCAACTGTAGCGAATTAACAAATTGCTAGCTTGCACTACGAGTGCAACAAAAATAAAGCAGCATTTATATAATTTAATCTCATGAGCAGCTTTGCCATAAATTGCCATTTAGCAACGTTAAAAGATTTTATTTTTTTTATTGCGCTGTTAATATGCAATTCGGAAACTATTGAACTCTTCGAAGTGTAGAAAATTTGTTGAGCACAAATGAATGACACAGCCATTGGTGATGCAACATTTTAAACTTTGAGCGTCTGTTTTTGGTTAAATGCATTACATGTGCATTTGTTGCATGTATGTGTGTTTATATGTATTCAAGAGGCCTTTATGTTGTTATGGCAATGGAATTAGAAAGTAACTGTGCTTTAGTTTGCCGAAAATTAATATTTGTGGCTTTAATTATTTGCAAACGAAAAGTGAATGTTGAATAACTTTTACACTAAAGAAAGCAAAAAGTTGCCACATATTAGTAATGGTGTAATTTTGAGTTTTAAAATTTTGGCGGTATAATAGAAAAAGTGAGTTTTAGGAAAAGAGAGATCGGAAAAGCAGCTTTTCGTTCAAGAAAATTAGTTTGTGTTTGTAAAATGTAAAACTTAAAATTTTTCTGATATAACAATATTGTTTTCGAATAGAAAAAATTGAATTTTTATGTTATTTCGAAAAACTGTAATTTCAATTTAAAAGAAAATTAATTAAATGTTTAATACATAAAAAAATATAATTTTTAATTTATGTTTTGTTTCCAGTTTTTATGAATGAGACTTTTTATATTTTTTCAATTAAAAGTGTAATAAAACATAAAAAATAGATGTTAAATATTTTCATTTGTATCAATATATTTTATTTTTATTTAATTTGTTTATTTTTATATTTTACATATTTCTATTTACATTAAAATATATAAATTAATTTTAATGAAATAAAACCGTATTTAAAAAAAAATCGTCATTTTACAGTAAAATAAAAAATATATATTTTTAAATTAAAAAGTAATAAAATACAAAAAAAAAATATATATATATATACAATATATAAACACAATATATACACAGATATATATTTTTATTTCTTTTAATATTTTTTATTTTCTTAATTTTTGACATTTTTTTAATTTTTTAAATTTATATAATTTAATATTTTAATTTTTATGTCGGATAAATTTGAAAAATCCTCGAATATTGAGATAATCATCAATATTATTTTTTTGTTATTAATTTCTTGAATTACTTATATTTTATACAAAATTTTGTTCAACTTCCCAAGTAAACACTAATTTTTTCTCTTTGTTTCTCTTCTCCTCATGCAACATTTACTCACAGGTCTCATCGTGGCCGGTGCACTGTTCCTGCTAGCCCAATTCACCATTTTCATCATCTGGAAGACCGTGCAGAAGCGCTCGAAGAAAGAACGCTACCTGTACCAGCACGAATCGGCAACGGCTGCCGTCAACTATGGCGCACCTACTATGGTTTACGGCCAAGCGGGCGGCTCACATTGCGGCGGCGTCACTGTGGCCTCGCACTCAGGCTCCAGCAACGCCAGCGACACGCTGGGCAAGCTCTATGATAGCGGCATGACGGGACGCTACGGACAGCAATATTAAAGGCAAATGATAGATTGACACGTGGGAGACGCCAAAAGTATTCCACACAATTAACTATACATAAATTTATACGAGAAACAAAAGAGAAAAAATCCAACAACAAAATACAGGACATATATACAGACAAGCACACGAACACAAGCTACAGCATTACATACACACACACACATAGCATTATATAGAACAAAAAAACACACACGTACACATATTTAATATATAAAATCACAAGATGTTCGAGGCTTAGGCGTTAGTTGTCCTTATTTATATTTAGGCATCACTTTTTTTACTTTTATACGTAACGAAATTAATGAAAAGCAAACTTGCAAAACTTGCAAAAAAATTATATTTTATATACAGTAGCCTATTTTAGTTCTAAGTAAAGTAGTTTTATACTTAGACAAGAAAACTGAAGACTTTTCCAACAGCAAAGCGAGTGTGGGGGTAAAAGTAAAAGCGCAAAAGTCAAAAAAAGCAAATTTGGGACATTTTTATTTCACTTTTTTCCCCTAAATCACGCATATCTATCCAAACTAGTAAACTAATTGCATTGGAAAAACTTGTTTAGCACTTAAAAAAAATTATATAAATAAATTTACTTTAGTTTAAGCTAATTTAGTTAAGGCGGGTGAGAATTACCTATTCGACAGTTGTAAAATGCCAACGTATGCGCGCTTCTAACGGTGATATCCGCCGGCCGTAAGCGCATGAACCGACCAACAACAAACGAGTGATTATGAAAAATAATGAACCGTTAGACTGAAGACTACACACACACAAACATACACACACATACACCACGTTACGAATACACGAATGCTGTTGATTCGTTGGTTACCGTTTTGAGCCGAGATCGCTGTTTAGGACTGCGCATTGTAAGCAAAGCAAAGGAGAAGAAATTATTTAAAAAGAATTTTATGTTAACAAGACGCAAATAAAATGAAAAACTAAAACTAATTCTTTTTTTTTTTGTTTTTAGTAAAATGCAAGCCAGTTAAGTTAGTAATTCGCGCACAGGTGCAGTGAAAAAATATTAATGGCTAATAAAAAGTAAAAATTAGGCAATAAAATGAGAGAAACAACAACGAAAACACACACCTAATGCACACTACACCGTTAGTTAGTTAGTAGGCTCAAAGCTTTCCATATTTATTGCACATTTGCGCTTCTAAGCAACAACAACATATTTTATGAGCGCAAAAACACACACACATCCATACATGCACACACTTGTAATGCTCAGCCAAAAAGTATTAGAGGCAGTAATAAGCAGCACTAAAAATGCGCGAGTTTCCTAAGTAATTTTGTATCAAAATACGTAGGTGGTTCTTCAGCACAACAACAACAAAATAATTTTTAATGGCAGTTTCGCATTTAAACCAAAAAATATTTACAAATATGTGTCTGTGCGCTCACTAAAAATAATTTAAAACAATATATAGAAAAATATGTTTAACTATTTATTTTATTTATTTATGCTATTTACCTATTATTTATAATTGTACTCTTCTTCATGAGAAACTCACGCATACACGCACATCCTTGAATGCCGCTTACGACTACGGTGCTTTTTAGTTAGCTGTATTTTACTTTATATATGATTATTATTATTTATAGTAGAACTTAATAAAAAAAATATATTTTAAATAATTTAAAAAAATAAAAGCAAAATAAATAAATAAAAATTGTAGCAAACTAGTGTTGCAAGCAGCAGAAAAGCAGACTATAAACAACATGGCAAAAAATTCTTACTTAAATGGATCCATTTAACGTATTTATGAAGTTGCTTAGCAAAATTTCAATCATTTAAACAAAAACAAAAAAATAAATATATATATAAATTAAAAAGGGACAAGAAAATAAAACTAACGGAATACATTTAATGAATGCATCAATTAAATGTTACTATTTAGCTTTAGTCTTTTTATACGAATTGTACTGATTAAGTCTATGAAACCAATAAAGCAAAATACGTATAATAATTTCAAAAAAATAAAATTAATTTTTTTTATTCGAAAACTTTTAAAGGGAAGCGTTAACGGATTTTCATCAAATTTGTCACAAATATTTTCCTAATTTTTCTCTAGTGTTTGACACATAAATTTTTAATTTGTAATACAGGCTGGCTCACGAATCGTGCTACAAATCGTAATAACTGTTTTTCTAATCAATGCATTGCATTTTCTTGTTTTTTCTTATTGTATAGCAAAATTTTTTTTATTTTATATAAATTAATAATAAATTATTTTTAAAAATTATGGACCGTAAATGACCTCCAAGATCAGCCACGCATATGCGACACCCAATTAAAAAATTATTCATTGCGGCTTGGAGGGTTGAAGTCGGGATTGCCTCAATTATCGATTTATTGAACTGCTTCAATTTAGTCAGATTTCTGGGTTTTTTTACACCTCTTGCTTGACATAACATAAAAATAAGAAATAACGTTAACTTCGATTGCACCGAAGCTAAAATACCCTTCCCAAATACAAAGGCTCCTTACCATAACTTGGTTCCAATCGTTCAATTTATATGTATGATAATTAATATCTGATCTGAAATTTTTTTTCGGAGGCTAGATTGTTGCCTTAGACAATATCTCGTGATTAATTACGTGAAGATACCTCGTCGAATAAAACATTTCCCATACAAGTACTTGATTCCGATTATTCAGTTTGCATGGCAGCTATATACTATAGTGGTCCGATATTCGCCGTTCCGACAAATAAACAGCTTCCTAGTGAGAAAAAGATAGGTGCATATGTATATATATATAGGCATGGCTAAATCAACTCAGCTCATCATGCTGATCATTTATATATATATTTTATAGGGTCTCCGATGTTTCCTTCTGAGGGTTACAAACTTCGTGGTAAACTTAATATACCCAGTTCGGGATATAAAAAGTCTGATGCCGTCAGGTCAGGTGACCTTGGGGGCTAACGGAATGTGAAATATCTTGACACTTATTTGTTATCAATTTGATTGTTTCCTAAACACGAACATACGGATCTCGACTTCTGTGATACTTCCAGATTCGGCAAATATGTTTACCAACCTTATAATTGTCCATCTTCTGGGGGGAATGCCGGTAAAATGCCGTGTGAAATCCCTTTGTCCACCTCTATTATTGAGGAGCCGTCATTTTATAAACAAAAAAATTGTTTTCAGTTTTGTGCGTTCATTTAATTGTGTACTTTTTCAAAAATGCATTATGGTTTCATTTTTATGTCGACCACAAGCGAGAAATCGGCGTGCGGTGTTTTAAGACTTTTATTTTTTTTTTAAATATATTTTCTATAATTTCAAAATATGAATAAACAAATTATAAAAATTAATAGTAAAACTGGTAATTGTTTTTATCCCCTGAACAGGTTACATTAATTTTACCACGAAGTTTGTAACACACAGAAAGAAACGTCGGACATACTATAAAAAATATATATAAATGAGCAGCGTGACAAACTGATTTGATTTGACCATATACGTTTGTCCGTCTCTCTATGTAGAAGAACTAGTTCCTCAGTTTTTGAGATATCAATCTGAAATTTTGTACCTGTCCTTTTTTTTACTAAGATGCTGCTCATTTGTCGGAACGGACGATACCGAACCACTATATCATATAGCTACATATATATATATATATATATATATATATAAACTGAACAATCGGAATCAAGTGCTTGTATGGAAAACTCTTTCATTTTACGAGCTATCTTCACAAAATTTGGCATGGGTTAATGTCTAATACAACAATGTAATCTTTGAAGAAATTGTTCAGATCAAATCTGTATATCATATACATAGCTGCCATACAAGTTGAACGATTGGAATCAAGTTTGTAAAGAACCTTTGTTTTTGTGAATATAATACTTCAGTGCAATCGAAGTTAACGCTTTTGCTTGTTAAGAGTTGACTTAAAATTTAGCAGACGCTCCATTTGACTGATGAAGAACACGGTGCGTACTAAAAATATAATAATTTCATCGGGTGGGATCCGAATCTGGGAATGATGTATTCTGATTCTTCATACAAGCTTTCTCTAGTATGATATTAGATATAAATTCAAAAAACGTATTTAATTTTGTAGTTTACTGTGTAAACGGTTAACCGCCAACAATATAATACAACCTTATTAGGCTAATATATAGGCTAACTAATACAACCAATTAAAGTCAACCTCAACCTTATTAGGGTGGTTCAACCTTGTTAATATGTTTTTCCGCTTTACGAAAAAACCTGGAAAATATCCTAAATGAAGTAAAAGCGTTAACTTCGGCTGCCCCGAAGCTATAATACCCTTCATTCGTGTATTTCTTATAGCATCTAACATCTGAACAATCTAATTGGAGGATGTAGCGCTCTCTTAGATAATAATCCGAAAAAAAATTCGGGAAGATATCTTGCCAAATAAAATAGGTTTTCATATAAGAATTGGCGATTCCGGCAAACGGACAGCTTGTTGCGGAGAAAACGAAGTATGCAAAGTTTCATGCTTAAGAACAGAGAGTCTAGATCGGACTGGTAGATGGGTTTGAATAAATCGACTTAGCTGGTCACGCTGATCATTTTTATATACATTTTATATGGTCTGCGGTGTTTCCTTCTGGGTTTTACAAACTTCATAACAAACGTAATTTACGCTATTCATATATGTATCTATAGAAAATATTATTACTCAAATGTCACAGCATAATACGGATAGACGCTAAATGAATTCCATGATTAATTGCTGTCATATTGTGTCATTCGTCATTAGCCATTACTTCGTTTTCATTTAGCTTCAAATTTATTTGAGTGCAAATAAAAAGCCTAACAGCGTGTGTCCATAATACCCTGTTAGCCAACATTAGCCAGCATTAGCTAATGCTTCAATCGATAACGGTCCACGAAATCGTGCATACTCCATTGAACGTGTAACAAATACAAACTGACAAGCGAAATTTCAAATCACCTCAAATTAATGCGTTGAAATGGAGTGAAAAGTGCACAAGAGACTAGAGAGAAAGTGAGGGGGAAAGCATTTTTCCGTTTTTGAATTTTATAGATTGTACGACGACCAATTAAAGTCAACCTCAAGTTGTACACACATACATGCAACGCTCATTTTTGCATACACTGTTGAGCTATTAAAATTAAATTAATCAAAGCGGCAATGTGCCACACCTGCGATGGTGATCGGCGATAAGAGCGAGCGATAAAACGTTTAAAATGCGCTTTTCGCTAATTGAATGCGTGACAGTGCGGCGACACCGATGTTATTGTTGTTGTGAAACTATAGATAAACGACTTGCATTTGCATGAAATTGAGTGGAAAGATGTATATATATATAGTAATATATATAGTAATATATATATTAGGGTGGATAAAAAAAAACAAATATTTTTTTTCACTTAACACTTTGTTCTTCGACACCTCTACGAAAATCTTACCAAGTATGTGTTCTTGATTGTAACGGGAAGGACCTTCAATTTACAGTTTAGTGGAAATCAATACTTATTCTTATAGAGAATTTAAAAGTCTACAAAACAGCTCGTATATCATTTTTTGCTAAGTTGACTTAGTCCATAAGTTATGCGACGTCAAAGTCCTGATTAAATCGTAGAAGATAATTTTTAAATCTTTTGACATTATTTCACAAAATAATACCTCAAAGTCATAATTATAATACAAAATATATATTATATAATTATGTTATAAAATAAGTGACTTTTATTATGTAAGGAAAAATAAATATTTTTCTTGGGCCACCCTAATACATACAAATATGTATGTATAAGTGTATATTTATGTGTCTATGTAATCTAGATTAGTTGTCGTACGCAGTTTTCTGCAGCTCAAACGGCACGCACTCCATGAAGCCATTGAGTATGACAAACTGAACCAGTTGTTAATAAATATATTAGTTATACGCACATACTTTTATAATACGCACACACGCAAAAATATTTATAAA